AACGTTGTTTGGAAAAGTCAAATACAACAAGATGAAGATACCCATTAACCCATGATGTTTTAACAATTGCAACGTTTGAAGAAGTGCCACCATTGTTGACAGAAAGAGAACGAATGGGTGAAGTGACACAAAGTTTGACTCAAAAACAAGTCGAACTCCAACAACTTGTTGACCAGTTAAAAGACGTCGAGCAACAACTCCAAGATTTGGTCCAGACTAAACAAGAACTTATATCAAAAGGAATAGAACTTATTGGTCAAGACTCTGATTTAGGGGCCAGATTTTCTCAAATTTTTAATTGATTAGTTGGTCTATTTTGGATAATAATGTATGGCCGCAGTGTATGGCCGCATGGTTTGGTTACTGCCTTGGTTTCGTCAGAGTACTTTTGTTAAATACAAGATTAGTTTATATTATCAATTGATTTTTTTGGTTGAGATTAATCATAATTTATTATTAAAAATATTATTTTTTGTATTTTCATTTTCAAGTTAAGTTCTATATTTTGAAAGAGCATTTTCTGCTTTTCTTTTGTTATTTTTGACTTGATTTTTGTTTGACATTTTTTCTTTTTTTAAATTTTATTACCAAGTCTTTACTCTTTTAAAAATTAAAACAAATTTGCAATTGACATTATTTTTGCGGGTTTTAATGCCAAATATGTGAGAAATCATTATATTCTATCGGTGTGTAGGTACCTTTTGATTGGTCAAAACCACACACCGATAGAGTCACACACCGATGAAATCACACACCGATAGAATTTCTACTGTTGTAAGCGTATATTATTATGTCATATAATATGAATGTTCAGTAAGTAAAAATTGTTTTTTTTTGAGAAAAATAAACATACTTTTTTATTTTCATTTTCATAAATGAAATGTATAAAATAATAATATATAATAATCATTTTTTTAACATTCCCACAATAAACTTATTTAGTTGATTACTTTAAATAATCTATTAAATTAACGTTTAATAAAACCCATTAAAGAATAGTCGTACAATTGTGTTTTTAGAATTAAACAACCCAAACAATTAAGGAGAAATATTTACACATAAAATTTGAATGAACAATCAGAAAACAATTGGATTTTGGAAAAAAATAAAACCCACAAATTATACTGAAAAATACTATAAAACTACGTT